GAATGATATATCCTTCTTTCTGTCATCAGTGAAAGCACCAAACCCTGCTTTTGATATACTGCAGTTTGTTTCTTTCTCCACCTCTGGAACTCGTTCATGTGGGATCAAGCTACAACACCAATTCTCATGTTCCAACTCCTCAAGGCACTTCTACTTTACAAGACTCCCTAGACTCTGGAATAAGATATCAAGGCAGGTCGATCTTCTTGGTTACTCTGTTCCTATAGCAAAATTCCATCTTCGTCGCCTTATGTGGTCCTACTTTGAAGAAACTTTCAACTCTGAGGATCTATGTACGTACCACTTCTGTTGCCCCTGTAGCAAATGTATCACTTCACAAGTCAAGTAACTGTTTTGTTGCATTAGTAACTTTATGTGTATGTATAATGTATATAGTGTTATAGTGTAAATTATTGTTTTATTTTTTTTTATTTCTGGTACTCAGTATTAATTACTGATGTACCCTCAGTACTCCAAACTCCTGCTGCCCTCAATTTAATGTTTTTCTTTTCTTCTCTCTCTATGTTAGTACTGTAAAGTTCTTTAATAATAATAATAATAATAATAATAATAATAGATCCCTTACCCATCAGAAAGAAGATTGCATGTGAGACAGTGACTGCTTCATATGCTCCAACTATCTTCTATGCTACAAGGAAACTTTAATATTTGCAGAAATTCTTAACTCATAAAGCTACAAGAGCAAGCTCATAGCATGAAATTACCTTCTACTGATGAAAGTTCTGCACTGCTCCACATCAGTAGAGTTACATCAACATTAATTTATTTAGTCCTATGCGACTACATGTCTACATCAATCCATATATATAGACATTCTATATCCAAAATCACAATTTTAATCGTTTTGCTCACCCCTCAATGTTTTACATTCGCCTAGTTTGATAAAATTACACTGGTGGAAACAGTAGACTAACTTGGGTGGAAACAGTAGCTTAACTTGATACTCTGATTATCAGTATAATCTACATGTACATGTATATGAGCAGTGTATTTTCTATTAACAAGTATTGATTATTATTATTATTAATTTTTGTTTTGTTACAGATCCTGATTTGTCATTCCCCAGACGACTCCTCAACATTACAATATTTGCTTCAATAATAAGGTGCCAGTACTACTTCACTTTCATCATTGGTGAGTCTCCAATTTCATTCTATAAATGTACATGTACATGTACATACATGTATGGCATAATGCACTATTCATTTAACAAACATAATATTTTCAACAATGCTTTCAACATACTGTACATCTATACATGTACATGTAGGAGAGACAGAGATTGCTATTATTATTTTATTTTTTGTTCTTCGATTGCTAGCTGATGGTATATGCAATGCTGGTGGTCTGGGCTATGATTCATTAGCCAGTGATGAGTCCAAGAGGTGGAGTCTGACGACAATGGTTGACGTGTATCAGATTGAACTAGCCACTAGTGCTCGTGAACTGATATCAGGATGGAACCTACCAACAATGAACTGGCTAAGAAGGCAAGGAACTTACCGTATAGTGGGAAATTTTGGAGGGAGTTAAATTTGACGAATTTGGCATTTTGAAAGCCATTCACCAAAATAAAAATTCACTATTTTGAGCCATTATGCACATGCTCAATGGCATGTGGCCACAAATTTGTTAAATTAAAACTTGCCAATTACTAAAATTTGGCAATTCGCCAATTTTAACTCCCTCCAGCATTTCCTGCTATACAGTAGTACTATAGATACAATATCAAGTTTATGATTAAAAGGGAGCAATTTTTACATTGTCTTTCTCTCATTTAAAATTTTATTCATTCTACTTTTTCCTGTTGCTTTGCATGTGTAGTGGAGATTAGAATTTATTAAAAGTCATAATTTTACATTATTCCATGCATTCTGTAGGTTAATCTATGACAGAGGTAATAAATCTGTATTACTCACCAACATGGTATCAGCAATGTGGCATGGTTACTATCCTGGATATTACTTATCCTTCCTTGTGGCTGGCCTAGGTACACTAGTTGGTCGTAAGGTAATAATAATAATAATATTATCATTATTAATTTTTTTATTTACATGTACTTAATTTTTACCTTTTTCTAGTTACGGTTTATCACCCAGAATGCATTCGATAGCTCTCGTGTCATGAAAAGCTCCTACACTGTACTCTGTATCATTGTCCTATCTTTAATGAGAGACTTCAACTTCATATCATTCCAGCTGATGTTCCTTGAAGACATATTCTTCATTTGGAAGTAAAGATCATTAACTTTATGTATACTGTAACTAAAAGCTCATCATTCAAATTCATTACAATTACTACTGTAATAATTGTACATGTAGTTTTGTATCTAAATGTACATGTACATGTACATTTCTCACTTTAAGGATTCCTTGCTTAATGTTTTAAATTATTATCGTGCTAAATTAAATTATAATTATTGCTAAATTTTTACTTAATTGCAATAATAAGTGGTCAGTATAATAGATCGAGCCACTGTTCTATTTTAACTGCATGTATTTATAAACAATTTTGTCTGGTTTTATTAGCTTCATTTAGCTTATTTTATAGCTACGCACTGTATATTATTAATTTTTAAAATGTTTTTAGGTGTTATTATTTTATTCCGGTCATTGGTCTCCTCTCATTGTTCTTTTTCCTGCCCTCAGTCAAAAAGCAGAAAAGCACATGAACAATAATGCTAGTGAAGGGTGTCATCTCTAGAGATGTAGATTATTATTTATTTTATTTTAAGCTGTAATAGATAATATTATAATTAATTTTAGTGCTTTTAATTTATTTTTCCAATAATAGTTTCAATATGTATGTGGGTGTGGTCGATTAGATTGTAGCCCCGCCTATTTGTGCTGGCATGTCTTTTCAGAAGAGTCTTCACCCAGTTCTAGTCCCGCTAGTAGAGGAGTGCTTCAGAAATGACAAGATTAATGGACAAGGCGGGATGATGGCTATCACTGGAGTCAAAAGCAGGCAGGCATACCTTTAGAATTAATAGTAATCATTATTTTTAAAAATTAATTTCTTCTTGTAGTCTAATTAACGGGCCTACAGATAAGCTCTGTGATCGTTTCACCGTCTCAGTCCCTTACTGTGGCTCTCACATTAAATGTAAGCATACCCATTACTATTGAGTGTGTATGTGTAATATTATTACATATATATTATTATTAATTTTTTATTATTCTTATTAGGGGAGGTTATATTCAATCACAAGTACCCAACTGAACCTCCTGATATTGTCTGGAGTGCAGACGACGATATAAATAATTTTGACCCTGAAATCGATAACTTGCAAGTAAGGAATATTGTACATGTACATGTTTTGTGTCCTAAACTGTAGTAGAGGGTATTTTGCCAAAAATGACTATAAATTTTTAAAGTTGCTCCAAAATCGGGCCAAAGTTCCTGTACTATAGTACAAGGTCTTTGGCCAAATTTTGCCAAAAATGACTAGGAGAGAATTCTGGATTTTTATAATTTTTTCTGATACATATACATGTTTTTATGTTACGTAGCAAATTTGAGCTGATTCCGATCAAAATTGAATTTTTACGAATTTTAAAAGTTACTGAAAAATTGGGCCAAAGTCCCTGTACTATAGTACAGGGTCTTTGGTCAAATTTTGCCAAAAATGAAAAGTAGAGAATTCTCGATTTTTATTACATTTTCTGATACATATACATATTCTTATGTTGTGTAGCAAATTTGAGCTGATTCTGATCAAAATTGGATTTTTTACGAATTTTTAAAGTTGCTCCAAAATCAGGCAAAAGTCCGTGTACTATAGTACTGGGTCTTTGGCCAAATTTCGCCAAAAATGACTAGGAGAGAATTCTGGATTTTTATAATTTTTCCTGATACATATACATGTTCTTATGTTGTGTAGCAAGTTTGAGCTGATTTCGATCAAAATTGAATTTTTTATGAATTTTTAAAGTTGCTCCAAAATTGGGCCAAAGTCCCTGTACTATAGCACAGGGTCTTTGGCCAAATTTTGCCAAAATGACTAGGAGAGAATCCTGGATTTTTATAATTTTTTTAAAATGCATGTACACGTTTTTATGCTGTGTAGAAAGTTTGAGCTGAATCCGATCAAAATTGAATTTTTTATGAATTTTAAAAATTGCTTTGAAAGACTCTAAAATGGCTATAGGCTGCAACATTAGTATTTTCATTATTATTCTATAGTCACTTGTTGATTGGAATCACAAAGATAATCTCTCCCTCTCTCACCTACTTGAGGAGCTATTAGAAGAATACAGGCGACACCATAAATCCCTCATCTCATCTCACCAAAGACTCAACTTTGAATATAACACACTCAAAGAGAGCAACATGTCATTGAGTCAGATTGACATACACTGCCAACCACCTACCACCAAGGCAAGAGCACATGTATTTACAGCATTATAATAGATTAGTGATGAAGTTTATATTGCTTTAAAGAATGATTTTGTATGGAATAATTGTACATGTATTGTTCCTTGGCCTTCTTTTATTATATAATATTGCTGGTACTTACATGTATGGTATTGACAATCTAAAGCCATGTGTTTTATAAATTCTAAGTTACATTATGCTGATAATCATTTCTTTATTGTAATTGGTATTTCTTTGTAGCAAAGTGAACCAGTCACCACCTTCTACATTAGACTCGAAGTGGATTTCTCTACTTTACCTGCTTATCTCTCAAAAGTAAGAGCTCAAACGAACCTTCATACATATGTGTACATGTATATGACAGGCTCCATTATTCTCTAGGATAATCCTGGTGCTAGTTTTGCAGCATTGACTGCTGTCTTTCATCCACCAAATGCCAGTAAAGTTGATATCAGTCTCTATCTATCACCTTCTATTGAGAGGTAACTTACTAGTACTATAATACTTTTAGTTTACTATGATAATGCATGTACATACATTGTACATGTACACTATACATGAAACTAAAATGAAAAAGCTTGTGAAACTAAACAGTATTCATTTAAATTATTTACGTATGTATGTTTTTAATGTTTTAGGATATTGGGGAGTGCTGCTAATATTAAGCTTCCTAGTTGGAACAGTGAGGACTCTTACCTCATGGACTATGTCCCTAATGTACACAAAATACTCCAAGAAAAGGTTTGGAGGATAATAATGTAGAAATTATACCAGTATAATAAGTACTGTAACATATTTTGAGCAACTTAAGTTAAATCAAGCGTATTATGAAGTTATGATAGTGTTATTATATGTATTATGTACTCTTAGTTAAATTTATCTTTATTAATAATAGTTGTGTAGCTGATAATATTTTGGTTCTATTATAAAGGTTGAAGGTATAGTACAGAACTTTGTAAGACGTAAAGAGTACATTGCAGCACTGCTGGGTTTAATGGGGCAATCAGTACTGGAGTATGATACCGAGAGCTACATGAAGATTGCTTTTCTTTTTGAGTCAAATCAAGGGTTTTGCTTCATTGCACACTGTAAGCTATGAACTACATATAAAGTACATGTTTATACATTTATGTACATGTGTAATTGTGTGTATAATTGTGTACATAAGTGATGTTATTGTTATTATTTTAGTAAATTTGACTGAAGCTTTTCCCAGTGAAGTCCCCATTCTCTCTCTCTACTCTATTTATCATAAATATGATGGGCGACCATTTCAATACATATTGGAGGGTATGCCTTATAGCTCTCATTGGGACGCTGAAGAGAAAGCATGGAGAATGAAGCAAGTCCATTCTCCTCTCTCTCTGCTATCTTTCTCTTTTCTTATAATATAATATGTATGATATTATGTGTAACACACACACACACATATATATGTATGCATAATGTATTTGTGTCACTGTTTTCCTTCAATCTCTCTTCCTCTCTGTTACTCCTTATTAATTATAATTAATCTTATTCCCAATAGGACCCACATTGCTCAAGTTATTCCAAAGTTTATGGAGATTTGTAAAACATCAGGAGAACTTTTATAGTAACACATTTTTGTGCTAATTATCTTATCACTTCCCACACTACTAATTATTCTTAATTTCTCTAGTAATTCAAAAAAATAAAATTTTGTTCACATCACATGCACTAGTTTATTCTTTGTTGCTGCAATCTCTACTGCAGACTGCAGTTGTTGGTGAACTCACGCTATCAATGCTATAGGAAAAAAGATTATGATTACTACATAATTATACTTTGTATATAATCAAATGACTCACGTGACAAAGTAGTTGCAAAACATATCCTGAATCACTTGTTTTACAACATATCCAACTTCAGTTTCTCCATTACAAATATTATGAGTAACAGAGATGTTGATAACTGGCTTGAAGTCGCTTGAAAGCGATTTAATATTATATGACTTAACAGGGCCATATAATGTAGGGATGTGCTCTTTAACAATTATGTTAACATCGGGGGAACCGATGCAATCGAATTCATCTCTCTACAAAGGACTGATATGAGCTTGCTTGTATAGCTACATTACATTTATACTTTTGATATCTTGGAAGCGATGTCAGGGAAATTTGTGTTATTAATAATATTGACCCACAAACCTTCTAACTCTTCGTTAAATGTAAGTGTGACATCAATGAAATGTGGAGCAGTATTTGCAGGCTCTATGGGAACAAAAATTATCAGTTTATATATATATGTATATATATATATATATATATATATATATATATATATATATATATATATATATATATATATATATATATATATATATAATCAATGTACACTAGATACTACACTTTTACTTTCAAAGGGTGAGCGGCAAGGAAATAGCTTAATACATCCGTCTTTGAAGCACTTCTTGAGCTCTGCTGCAACACTTTCAATCTCTTCCTTTGGACCACAGAGTTTGAAAGAGCTGAAGCTAAATGTCTCTTCGTGACTCCACTCGATATTCGAGTAGATAGGCACAAGTTTTTTCAACTTGTCACTGATGTGAGTGATGTCGCCGTCTTTAACCCAAACGTAACTTTCACTAGATTGCTCGCCGTTTGGTGTACCACTACTGCTGCTTCTGCAGTAATGAGGAATCCTGCTGCTCAACAAGAAAGACCTTCGGAGAAATCTATGCATCCTGATACTCCAATCATTTGCGTGGGTTGGTCAAAATGACAAATTTGAGAAGGTGTGGCTAATTATCCGATGATTTCGTTATGACGTCATTAAACAGTGTGGCTGATTCAGCTGATTTCTTAGTTTTTCACTTGAGTGTTGTTTTACAACGTGTAAACTATCATGGAAAACCAGCAGACCCCGAGGCAGATCCGGAAAGAAGTGGCATTGGTCGAAAGAAATAAGCATATCAAGGGCAAGCTGGAATTCATTAGAATACTCTGTGCTACGCTGTTGGAAAAGGCGATAGAGGAGAGTCTAGGCTTATATGATATCTTCGAACTGACTGAAAACAGCCTAGAAGGAAACCTTTTAGCTTCTGTGTGGTATTCTATTCTGCTTTGTATCGGCTGCACGAAACAGCAACTTTCAGGTATTAAAAACTGCATCGTTCATCATTACGATACAAGCAAAAATGTGGAGTTTGATCTGATGCTTGCCATGACAGAGATAGCAATAAAAATAGACGAAGAAGATTTCCAGATATACACATCACACCCAGAATTTCCTGATGCATCATCAAAAGTTGAGTTTCTTCAAGCTTTACACACGAATGGTCATTTAAAGAAAGAAAAGGTTTTGCTGTTTCGATCACAACTACAGAAGGCCGATTGCCCAGAGCTGCACACACCACTCACAAATTTCTGTGATAAACACGGGATAGAAGCATCAAAAATAGCTGTGCCGAACAAAAAATACAGTAAGAAAAGCTAAGTATAATAAAGGCTAATTTTAGAATATTTTTCATTTACCCTAGAACGTTGCTGTAAGAAATTCAATAGTAAGTGTATTACAGAGTTGCATTAATTATTTGAAATTATATGAACTTAATTCCATAATGAATAAAGATGGATTTACAATAATAGACCATTTTTAATCAAAAGAGTGGGTGATTTGACCTTTACACAATTACACATATATGCATAGGCGTAGGAATGATTCAAAAGTTGAGGGGGCTCAACATAAAAAAGCATGACTTAGCATGTGAACATGGGGGGGGGGGCTAAGCCCTTCTTGCTGAAAGTTGGGGGATTCAGCCCCCTCCACCCATTCCTACGCCTATGATATGTAATGCTGAAATAGGACCAAATTAAATTCCAGTGTCAGCATAATGTCAGGTGTAGTGTCATATTCTAAACTAACCTTATAAGGTGTGCTTTGATTATTGGACGGTTGCAAGTATTTTATTCCATAAATTTGTATTTCCTGAGCATTCAAACAAGTTTGTAAATATTAGCCAAAAGCTCATGAGCTATAGTCAAATTGGCTATAGGTGAATTGTCTTTTAACTTTTTACAACATCAATAATAATCTATTATACCTCTCTTTATAATATTTTATAGAAATTAAAGTTCCAGTATCGATTTTTATTGTAGCGATTATATTGATCCTATTGGCTGGTGGTGCAATTGCATTATATTGCATCTATAAAAACAATTATGTTCCTAGACCAGAGAAAGTTACCGTGCCTGTGGGTTCTATAGCATCGCTCTTTTATAACAAATTTTTTGTCGACAAGGTAGATCTCGTTTGTGAAAATTGTGATGCCAACAATGCTGTGAGTGTTTATGTTGTTCCAGAGGGTGAACTATCTTATAATCCTGTAGTCATTCCAAGAACGCTATTAAAGCAAGAAACTGCTCCAAATAATCAACGGTTTGAAATATCTTATAACAAAACTACTCTCTTGTGTAATCCAAATGGCAAAGCAAAGTTTGAATTCGACATTCAATGGAACGGAAATACACAAGAAACATGTCCAGCACAGCTTTATTTGTTTGACTCCAAAAGCTCAATTGCTACTTTTGTGAGGAATAACGATAAGCAATATCCTGGAAATGTCAGCTATGCCGCTGATACTACTGGGTGTCTTGAACCTGGTAAAAAAACTGTTTCTTTCAAACTCCTCCCTAACACAATGTATCATATTGGCTGGTACGTCTCACAATCTGTCGAGTACAGCATTTGGTTATCAGCTAATTTAACAAGATATGATATTAGTGGGCTTCGAGAGAATTGCACTATTGCTTCTTCCAAACCAATTACATGCTCAATAACTCACACTCGATATCCAGCCAAAAAGGGAAACGTATCTCTCCTTTTCAGCACCACAAGTACATCACCAAAGACTGTTAATGCCACTTCAGTATTAGTTGAGTGGAATCTTCCACAATTGATTGGTGTCACATTTTTTCCAGGAATAGGAGTATTAGTAATTATAGTAGCATTGTTCGTATGTGTCGGTTTCCGTTGTCAAAAAAGGAGGATCACGATAAACACTGCAACGGGTGAATATGGTGCTTTGCAAAATAGATAGTAATTTTAATAAATTAAATTTTTAAGTTTAATATTTTTGTACAGTCTTTTATTGCTTTAATGTTTTTATATTTTTCTAAAAGTAAAGTTACCATTTATTTGCATTGAGCACCATTTGCCAAAATTAAACCTACCATTTTAAACCCTTATGCACATGCTCAATAGCACATAACTACAAATTTGTGCCTTTTCATAGGTGAGAGATGCATGTACATGCGTACATACATTTACTTCGTATATGTACATAAAATACTTTCCTCTTCTCAATAATTGTATCCATAATCCTAATCTAAGAATACATATTTGATAACATTTTAAAAGTAATGTGAAAAATCAGAAATACCATGGACATAATGTGTATATACTCTTCTCCATCTCTTCCTCTACCCTCCCTCCACTTCCTTCTTCTCTCTCTCTTCCTCCTTTTTCCCTCCCTTCTCCCCCTCTCTCCTTTATCTGGATAAGATTATAGTTGCATGGTGCTTCTGTTGATAAGCCCAACAGTGTCCTCTTCTGCCAAACTGCACAAAACTACTCAAGCAAGTCATGTACTTGTGCGGGTGGGTGGAGTCAAACATGACGTACATTGATAAATAGGTTGATATGGGAGAAGTATATACCAGCAACATTGTGTCAAGAAGGCACTCATGTCAGGCTGTCAGCCATTAGCAGTTGCATATTTACGCAATTACTTAGAAATGAAATAGAGAGTAGCACTGATGCCGATTTCATCTAGTGATATGTATAATGTAATGTTATTGCTAATTATCTTATCATCACTTCCCACACTACTACCTAATTACTCCAACCTTATGTACTTAATAATTTTTCCAAAAAATGAATTAATTTTATGGAGACACAAAGAAAAGAAAATTGTTCTTTCTACATATAGCGGGTTTATATGTACTTTGATAGTGTACATAACACAAGAGAGTTTCATGGCTAGTTTATGCATACTGAGCCAGAGGATGGGATTGGGACACTCACACTATCAATCCTACAAAGAGAAAAAGTTATTCTATTTAATCTTATTTGCACTGACACTGACTTACACAATGAGATAGTTAGGGAATGCATTCATTAACTGTTGTTGGACTTTATACCCAATGTTAGTCCCATCACATAGATTATGTGTAATGGAGACATTTATGATTTCCGTTGTATCTTGTTGTAATTGGATTTTGGCAGATGAGTCAGTCTTAGTACCATTTGATGGACCAATGGAGTAGGCTTTAACAGACCCATATTGTAAAAGAGGACGCTCTCTGACTATCACATTAATTTTAACATCTTCAAGACCTCCAGTGTTCTAAAATTATGAAAATAAAAACATAAAGTACAAATCTGCCTTATTAAATTTGAACTCTACTACTATGATATTTTATAATAAAGCAGTGCACTATTAATTCAAATTCATACATGTATACTTTAATGCAGTAAATCTTAGATCCAGTGTTGTTGTTTACTTACTGATAAACTATTGGCGAATTTTGAGAAGTCCTCCATTGAGAGAGATTTGTGTTTCAATAGATTCTTCAGAGAGTCATTGAGATTCAGTATGATATTGATCACTTGATCTCCTACAACTAAAAGATAGATAAAGATTAAACAAACTGTCAAGTTATACTTTCACTTTCAGAATTAGGTATGATTGAACCAGGGTAGTATTGCTCCAGGGCTTCTGTGACATACTGGATGTCTTCCTTAGATCCAGAGAACTCTACAGAGCTGAATCTCACCGTCTCGGCCACATTGGATTTGATGCCCCTTTCTGCTTCAAGGCTCTTGAGTTTCTTCATAATTTCTTCATCTTTATGTTTGATACTAACGGATTTCTTAACTATTTTGGACTGCGGTACTGTTGCTTGCACGGTACTGCTGCTGCTGCTTCTCAAGCAATGGTAAGGGAATTTGCTAAAGAAGGACCCAGAGAACTGAGGCCCGCTGCGGAGAAGAAATCGAGACATCATTTTTCTCTCAGTGGCTGCGTGGGTGTTCTTCACATCTGGCTCCTCCTCACCACTTGACCTATTAATTAACTGAATCAGCACACTATTCTAACTCTCGCTCACTCTCACCTTCTCTAAAAGTTGTCTTTACTGCAAGTGTGATAGATCTAATGGCTAATAGAACTTTGGGATCAGTGCTAATTGGCTGTATCGATGAAGAAGACTTGGAATTCATTAGACCGATCTGCTCCTCTCTCCTAAAGATAGACATAGACCTTATCCCTGACATAAACTCACTGCTCACTGAAATGGAGCAAAGACTAGAGCCAGCAATCCTTCCAAGCGTGTGGCACTTCGTCCTTTCCTCCGTTGGCTGTGCAGAAGAGAAGCTATCACGCCTCAACGAGTACATCACTCATCCGTATAATATCAACGGAGACTTTGAGTTTGGGCTCATGCTGACAATGACCAAGACAGTCAAAAAAATGGACACGAACACCTTCAACAATTACAAGTCAAACGTTGGCCTGCCTAAGGCACCGTCAAAAGAAAAATTTCTTTACAGCCTGTACAAAGAGGATAGACTAACGAGAGAGAGTGTCCCAGAGTTGAGGGAATGCATAGAAACGACTGGTTGTCTCGAGTTTCATGAGCCACTTACAGTGTTTTGTGGACAACACAGCATACAAGTACCCGAGATCATTTACGTACCTGATTCTGATGAAGGTATGAGCTTATTGTTTTATTGCTTTTATTTATTATTTATGTTTTAAAGGTTCTAACGATGGGAATAATAATAGAAGTAAGTTTACTTTATATTCTTCAATGAATGTATGATAGTATTAAGTCTTGCCCTCCCTTTCACTCTTTTGTACTTGAACAGCTACAGCTTGTAATGTAGCGTGCATATTGGAGTGCTTATGTGTGGAGAGTATAATGTTAACTGTAATTATTATTAAGAATTGTGGCCATATGTACATGTGATTATGATTTTAATAAAGATGAATAGAATGATGATGTGACAGAAATCTCTGCATATGTACATGTATATTGTTGTGACAGTTATATGGGTGCATGAGAAAGTGGACTTCATTAAACAAACAGGACAATTATTATCATTCTTAACATTTTACCATTTTTACTTATTTGACCTTTTCATGAATAGAGATCAGAGCTAGGTTCATTCTCTGTACCTGTATCCTAATCACCATTATTCTAATAATGGCCGCCATTGCATTAGTATTTCTTTTCGTCTTCAAGAACATTCAACATTTTGATGCTCAGACTATCAGTGTGTACAATGGCTATGTAACCTCTATCTACTATGATCAATTTTATGTCAATGAAGTGAATCTTATTTCCAATAGCACAGCTACAGCAAGTGTCTATGTCGTCCCTAAGTCTCAGTTATCATACATTCCTGTGGTGCTTCCTGAAAAGCAAATAGACAAGAGAAATTCTACTTTTTCTCAAAGGTTCGAACTGTTTTACGACCGAAGTGAAAACAATCTTATATGTAATACAGTTTGCAAATTGAAATTCAGATTCGAGTTACAGCAAAACGGAGTTGTTTTAGGCTGCCCGGCACAACTTTTTTTGTATGACAACAAAGCAGACTTAAAAATTTTCATAGCAAATGAGCCTTATGGCTCAGTTGGTGACCCTGTTGCTCAAACTGATTGTCTTCCTAAAACAGGTGTAGTGAATAAAACATTCCATCTACCTCCTAACAAACTCTATTACATTGGTTGGTACGTTGCTAAAAATGTGGGCTATACCATCTGGCTATCAGCTAATCTAACAAGAATCAATATCAGTGGACTGAATGAGGACTGCAGTGTTTCCTCACAACACACTACCTGTCCAATAACACATACTAAGTATCCACACAAAAAGGAGAATATATCACTACTTTTTAACACCACAAGTACAACAATGATGGATGTTAATGTAACTCCTGTTTTAGTACAGTGGAATCTCCAACGTCTAACTGGTGTATCTGCTCCTTCTTGCATAGGAGTAGTAGTAATGATGGTAGCTGTCTTTGTTTGGTTCTATTATTGTATGATAAGAACTGTTGCTTGGAATGGATACATTACAATAGCTTAAATATTTTTGTTCAAATATTTGCTGCCGCTTTTTGTATTTTAAAAACAAATTAAAAAAAACAAAATTCTAAAAAATAATTATTTACACTATAGGTCTAAGTTTACACATCTATAGTTCTAAAGTCACTACATATTATGACTATCAGCTTATAGTTTATTGCAGTTTTTTAACGATTACTTTAATACTTCATTATACGACTGTTGCCATAATCTGCAACATAAATATATCCATCCTTATCCAGTGCTACACCATATATTTGAGCAAATGAAATTGATTTGATGACATGTTTCCTGTCAGGACTCAATACATCAAGGCAGCTATTGTTATTTAAAACAAAGATATATCCTTCGTCATCAATGGCAATACCTTGAGGAGAACTGATGTTATTTTTGTATGCATCAAGTTGGTTTTTACCATCAGGAGAGAAGACTTGAACATGACTTTGATCACTAATGGTAACGTGTATCTTTCCTTCATTATCAACTGCTACATCAGATGCATTACCATCACATTGTATGACTTGTACAAATGTACCATCTTCTTTAAACACTTGTACTCTTTTGTTGCCATAATCAGCTACTAATATATTACCTTTACCATCAGTAGACATACCATGAGGAGTAGAGAATTGTCCATTTCTATTACCATTACTACCAAACTGACCAATATACTGACCAGTAGTAGCTGAGAAATACTGCGCACGATGAAGAGTAACATCAGACACATAGAGCCTGTCTCCTACCAGCAATAAACCCCAAGTACATTGAAATTCTCCACCACCGTTACCTTTAGATCCAATCCTTCTTACTGCAGTACCATCCTCACTAAATACCTGAACAAACCCACCATTATGACTACTAGCAAATACTTCACCATTAGTATGAACAGCAACACCAGGAGTACGACTCCCCACATTAAAGGATCTCTGGTTAGTTAGTGTGGTATAGTCTCTTGATGCTTTTACTGACAGTTGATAAGGACTACCTTTAATATGGTGACCTCTTACAGTCACTGATAGTTCATATCCACCATTATTTTTAGGTGTGCATGATACAATGGCTGTGTTGTTATCATTAACAACTCTACCCTCCTCTTTACTGCCATCATTTTTGGTAAAGGAAGCATGAACGTGCTGCAAGGCTTTATCTAGAGGTACAGGAATATTAATTGCCAGCTTAAATTTCCGTTCCTTCTGTACTGTCGCTAGAGGAATGGCTTGCCCACTATCGACAGAATAAAAATCTGCATCAACTTTAAAAACACCACCATATTTACCAATTTCATTGCTTATGACAGTGGTGTCAAGGCTTGTTAAAATTGCTTCATTTTCTTCTATTTCTAGAGGTAGTTTCTTATACTCTTCAATGCATTCCTCTAGTTGATTCGTGATTAGCTTCTTAACGCTGAGAACTTCACCTGGATCAGTACGCTCACTCACTGATGATGCAAGATGACGACCATGAGAAACCTGTTTTACCAGTTTATGAAACCTGTCCAACTGCTTCTTGACTGAATTCCTCTTAGCGCTAGCAATCTCTTCTGTCTCCATTAGTAGATCATTGCATCTCTTATCTAAAGCAGCTTTAAGCTTTTCAAACGTTTCCTTGATTTTCTGCCTTACTTCTTCTTTACGTGTTGCTATCTGCTCTAGCATCTTCTCTCCATTAGCAATAGCTTCAGTGACTGGAGGAATGACTCCATCACAACTACCAACACTTTCCTTTAATGCTTTACGTGCTGTTTCTCCTACGTCAATGTAATCATCATAAGCATGATCCTTATGCTTAGTAGGTAGGCAATTGAGGCAGGTCATTACTTCACAATCATTGCAGTAGTATAATAGCTCTGATCGTGGGTGTCGTGGACAATAGACTGGCTGCTGTGCTGTAACAGGCAATTCTTCAATGACACTCTCCTTTCCCATGTTAACCAGTTTGTGCTGACTCGTGATTTTTATTCTTTTATGTGCTGTCTTGCAGAAATCACATAAAAACAGCCAACACTCACAGCAAAACGTGACAGCAGTATCGTCACTGCATTGCTCGCATAATGTGCTTTCTTTCTTGCTCATTTTATCCTTTACGGATGCTTCCTTCACTTGTTGAGCTAGCCAAAGGTTTTGAGTGAGGCCTTCAATTTTACCATCAGGTAAATTAACGCTAGTGTCACACGTTGGACACTTTAATGAGGTATCAGCACTACCTTGCTTCTCTTTAGCTTTTATTAGACACTTCTTACAGAATGAGTGAAGACAGGGAAGCATGAGGGGGTCAGTGTAATACTCTGAACAAACCTCACAAGTCATAGTGATAGCTGGACTTGTGTTTTCTGCCATTTTCTAAGAAGAAAATAAATCATCACAATACCACTGGCTGAAGTATGTTACTTTTAAGAAGTGTTCTTAATCAAAAAGCAAGAGAATAGGTGAAAATGGTAAAAGAGACAAACTCGGAGACAAAAGATTAATGAAAAGAGAGCATGCAACCCCACTTAAAGTGGGATGGTTTGATCTGCCCACAAGTCACACATGGCGTCCAATGGTGATGCTGGTTTTAAGGTCTCAGTGGAATCACTCCATACTACAAGAGTCAAGGAGATCAACTATGATGGAGAAGAGATATATGAAGGGTAACAGTCATTTATTATAATAATACAGAATGCAATTAATTGAGTAGATTGTTATTTCATTATTTCTTACCTCTTTTAATTTAAATTGGGAATTCTAAAATAAGAGACAAAATAAAAAGTACCTCAAGGTATTAGGTAGCATGCTAATGATACAGTTATAATTATATACAATGTACACTAGAATTACTGTACATTCATGTATGTGTATTTATTTGTAGGAGACCTCTCTCTCAGAAACTAAGTGAATTAGCTCAACATGTTGACTTTAGAGAAGAGAGAGGCAGAGAGCTGATGATGATAATGACAGAGAAGAAGGAAAGAAGAAACAAGAGGAGGAGGAGGAGGAGGGAGTTTCTGGTCCTATAACTAAGAAACCAAGTCATTGCTGGCCATGGGAATTCACACACTCAAAACTCAAGTACATAAATACATGAATTTGTATAAACAAGAGTATAAATCATGTATCAATGTATTGCATACATAAAGGATAGTTAAACTTTATTATTAGTTTTGTGTTTATTGCAGGCAAGCATTGACTGAAGTTAGTGTACTGTCTGATGTGTTACAAATTGTTCATAATCATCATCAATACTTGTCACTGGATCCAGTTTATGTTAATAAGAAATACACATTACCTCCTTCATATCAATACCAAATTAAAAAGAAGGTTAGCTTCTCATGATTTGTTACTTTACTCAGTTATGCATGCACAATTACATGTACCTCAATATAGAAGATTATAAAGGCATAGTATTGGGCATAGTGTGAATGTACTATTCCTTTACCTGTATTGTGTTTAATATAATTAGGTACACAGATCAATAGGAGTTCTTTTAGTGAGCTTTGTCCCTATTAGATTGATAGTTAATGAATATGTATTGATTGTGTATGTACATGTACATTTAATATTATGATGAGTTTTTGTGTAGGCACTTGATGTAGCTTCCAAGATATTAAGAAAAGGAGCTGAGCCACTGAAGAGATTATCCAGTCAAACTGATCACAAGTTTTACAGAGCATTATATGATTTAAGAAGAAGATGGATACTACGTAGAACAGCTAATGGAGTGAGTGGAGACCTCAGCTATAGATCAGGTAACTTAATTGTAATGAAGTATAACATGCATACAGTATAATACTAATGGGTACTATAGTATGAAGCAACTTTAAAAATTCGTAATAAATCTAATTTTTATCGGAATAAGCTCAAACTTGCTACACAGCATGAGAACATGTATATGCATCAGAAAAAATTATAAAAGTGGAGAATTCTCATCTTTTCATTTTTGCCAAAAATTGGCTCGTGACACTGTACTATAGTACAGGGACTTTTGCCCAATTTTGGAGCAACTTTAAAAATTCTTTAAAAATCCAAATTTGATCAGAATCAGCTCAAACTTTCTACACAACATAAGAACGTGTATATGCTTCATAACAAATTATAAAAGTGGAAAATTCTCACCCTTTCATTTTTGGCCAACAACCCTGTGCTATAGTATAGGGAATTTGGCCCGATTTTTGAGTATCTTTAAAATTTGTTTAAATAATCTAATTTTTATTGGAATCAGCTCAAACTTGTTGCACAACATAAGAACATATAAGTCTCTGAAAAATATACAAATGAAAAATTTTCTCAAATCGGTACTATCATTATTTATTGTAGCTGGTTTAATATATGCTCAGTCAGTTCAGTTTGAGGTTCATAAAGGAATTGAAGGGACTAATGATATACTGTCAGTAGTGGTACCTCAAGAATTAAGAGGAAGGAGTGAAGTAGTTATTAGTAACGCGGTAGCGTTACTAAGTAGGATTCACCCCCAAACAAAATGGCTGCCACGACTTTTGCAGCCTTGCTATACTGGGAAAACGAGCTCCTATGCTTACCAGACTTTATAGAGGACCTTATCTTGACCAGAGGACTCCAATGGTACAACCAGCGTAGCTCTAGACCTTGTCTAAGCGAAAATCCAAAAATCGGCGAACCGGCCGTTTTGTTCAGCCACCTTTTTTCATCTTCATCATCTTCATCATCAAGTCCTGTCAATCCAGTTGTCGGTGTGTATCTCAGTATCAGTTGGTGCTACAAGGATAATTCTTACACCAATCTACTCCAACAGTCTATGCGCAGGTCCATGTCCCATCAGATCATTCTTCAAGTAAGGAAAAAGTGATACTGTGACTGCTGGATCGAGCCATCTCAGCTACATGCCGCCATTTTGTTAATTAAAGAAGCTTGCCATGTGCTCCAAAATGTGGGTGTGGTCGCGCATGCTCAGATCTGCAACTCTGGAAGAAGCAAGTTATTTTTTTACCAAGCTATGCTTGGAATCAACTTACTGCAATACTTTAGTGGAAGTTTCCAGCTAAAAGAAGGTATTAATCTTACATGTTACTGTTTTATCAAATGTGTTATTTTATTTTAAAAACAAACAGTTATGACTTATGATAACAGCCTGGAAGAACAGGAATAGCAGGGAAGATGGACACTGTTAGCTCACAGATTCTTGAACAAGGACTTGTGTCAAGACTATTATTAGTTTCACTTGTCATCAGGATAGTTGATATTCCTTCAGCATGTCTATTCAATGCTGTCTTTCATAAATGTTATAACAATGATAATAATAATAAAGAAAATTATTGTTTGTGTAAAATCAATAAGTATTACAATTGCAACTAAAGAAATACTATAAATATTATTTTAAAAATCAACACAAACAAGAACATAAAAAATTAAAAAAAAACAAGATGAAGTAGGATTCCGAACGACCAACGAAAATACGAAATGAAAATCCTACTCGTGACGCAAATTCTACTCTACATTGCAAGGTGATCCATAATTCTTACATAATAACATGAAAAGTACAATGTAGA